ATATGTGACCATATTAGTAGTTATTATGGTCATTCGTGATGGTCGCATATGTACAAATATATATATATATATATAGAGAGAGAGAGAGAGAGGACTGTTTAAGGAATTTATGCACAAATTAAATGTTAATAGTTGAATATAAAATAATAAATTATATTTTCAACTGTCTAATGAAATCCAACAATTAATACTTGAGGTGTGTATGCATTTTTCTACACACCAAAAGGCAAGTGAATAATTATGTATATATGTGTGTGTGTGTATATATATTTGTAAACATGCCTGCATAAAGGGCAAGGATCCGAATAATATGTAGTTGGTACGCATCAATAATATATACATAGACATGGGAGCAATTTATAATATAAAGTTCAAAATCATTGGAAGCCACAAGTTGTATTTATAAAATCAACATATAATCTTGGCCACAGAAAAATTAATTATTTGATTTGTTGATTAATTTTCAATTGGTTCGTGAACCATGATGTGAAGGTTACACTTTTTTTATTTTTTATGCTTGGATATTGTTCAAATAAATTGGTTGAATAATTCGGACTGGATAGATAAATGTTCAATTAAAAATAATTTGGACATTCCCAGAAATGGAATTAATATGCTTTGCAGTTTGCATCTCTCAACCATTAGGTTATATTAATATTATGTTGTGTTGTGTTACATTAAATATATAATTGCAATACGACTAGACACACATTTATATAACTTATCATCTCTATAAAGAATACATAAAAGCTACGTATCATTAATGCAACTAGATGATCTTTTGAATATAAAGAGAGTAACTGTGCAGTATTAATTAATATAGAATAATATAATATTAATTAAAAATAGTCCCATTATATTACATCAATGGAAGTTAGCTAATAATATATAAGCATCAAACCAATTCAAGTTGGTCAGTTGGGTGGTTGTCAATGGCAATGATTCTCATCTAACGGCAAGGATGGGAGTTCGATTTTCTTTAGAGTCACTAAAAATTTGTATGTTCGGTGATTAATTATTGAATACTCTAAGAAGTCCGAGTTGTCCGTGTCAACAAAATAAATAGCACTTGTCAAAGGCAGCTCAGACATGCCCAACCTAAACTAAAACAAGTTCGTGATTTCTGGGCCGGGTGAGTTGGGAGATACCTAAAATAAGTTCAATAGGGCTGAGCACAGTCCAGTCAAAAGTTCAAATCTATTTGCTATCTAATCCTTGTTTCTTATGGGCCCTTATTGGTTTTTATCCAATACTAGATTGTCTTAGCTGAGTTTCATGCTCGCCAATCTGATTGGTTGAGAAAACTATCTACCAATCACAAATAAAAGAAAAATTCAACACTTCATAGGATTGATTAAAAGAAAATGTGATTAGGAAAACCATCACATGTTGGGTTTTTTCAACCAATCAAGCAAACCATAATTTTGAATGTTGATGGGCTCAAACCAAAGCTTATCTGATGATGAAGACAAATAATTGTGTAATATGTTAAATCAATAAACTTTGAGAAATTATTATTTGGTCCCGGAACCATTGGTCCCGGGACCATTGGTCCCGCTTTATTGATCTTTGAGAAATTATTAGATGGTCCCGATGTGATAATTTATTTGCGACTTGGTGAATTCAGTCAGCCCAAACTGAATAAACATGTTTTATAAGTCAAATTTGGCCCAAAAAGAAAAAGGATCGGGCCTAAGCCCTTTTATAGCTTCATGTGCACCGTTGGTTTTGACTCCAGGTTGTTGGTGGCCCATTTGGTTATGGAAGAAAAGTGATTTAGCCACTGTTGTTTGGTTTAGACTTTAATCCAAAGAATAATGATTTAGCGTCCGAACTCGTCGGAATTGGAGTCATGTGAGTGGGGTGGTGGGAAATGCAGGTTATAATAAGTACCAATTAAAGAGTCACTTTCTATATAATATCAAAATTTAATTCTATACTTAATTGACATTAAGATGATATCATGATAATGATGCATTTCATAAACCTATTTGTGCTCGCTACCACTCACATGTTGCCACTATGCACAAATATACATTTTCATACAAGATATGATTGAAAATACTATAGAATTGACTTAGGTATAGGTGAAATGTTTGAGTTCCAAGCGAATTAAAATTGTATATATTTGAAATCGCCATCGACGTGGGGCAGGGAAGACTATTGAACACACCCTCAAAAAATATGTAACTCCAGCTCCTTATAGCTCCGTAATACGCTAATAGTCATTTTAGATGTTTTAAATAAATGTATTATTGGAGTTATTGTCTTGATAATAGTCAGGCTTTTGGGTCACTCATATTGCTGCATTTTCCTCTCGATAGTTTCCGTTGTAAAGCTTTGGCTCTCGTTTTTAACAAATCTGAACCTGTTCTTCATTTTTCTTATTTTGCTTTATAATTTGTATGTCTGTTTTTGCTTTGGCTTTTAGCTCTTTACTGTCATTGATTGCTTCCTTTGCAACAAAAAATAATAATAATAAAAATAAATAAATGTACTATTTTTGTAATCATTTTGAATAAAAGTAAAAATGAACTAATGAAAAGGCCATGTTAGAATGTTTCCCAAAGATGAATATTACTTTGCAAAACCAGACCCAGTGTTGGAGGTCCACAACTCCCTAACACAAATAGTTATGAAGCAAATCATGAGAATAATTATTTATATTCAAGCTTTTGGTTTTCAATTCCTCTCAAATTCAGAGAGGAAGGGGCTGAGACGACTTTAAACAGTAAGTCCTATCATTTTCAATGCGCACTTGTCGACATCATCATTTTGGGCTACACACAAGTCATGACTATATCTAGCCCTCAACCAAAAGCAATGACACAACTAATTACAAAGTATAATTAAACAAATAATTAACATCAATCTAGCTAAGAAGCAATTAATGACATTTTTTTTAATGGAATCATGGACGCTAACATTTTTTACACATTTTTTAACACATGAAAAAAATGTTGTGTACTCCCTAAAATGATTATTCATTTGTACGTACAGTTGAAAATTTTAAAAATAATAAATAAAAAGTCACATCCATTTGCCACTAGTGCAGCTTTTGACTTGCACAAGGCCAGGGTCACCTTGATCCGATTTCAATTTGATTCAATTTTTGGGTGCATTTTGTTTGTACCGTTTTGATTCAATGAGGAAAAGAGGATAAAATTTAGGGTTGGGGTTAGAGTTTAAAAACTTTACATCAATTCTTCAAATTTTTTAGACTTACTTCCCTTTTTTACTTCATTTCTTTTTCGATTTTGTATTTTTAATTTATTTCCTTTAGATTGATTTTATATATATATTTTATTATGGTTTTCTACCCCAATCTTACCAATTCTGAAGAGATCGGTATAAATAATGTTAAATAAAATCTTCGTAGACAAAGTTGAAGAGATCGGTATATGTTGCACCAATTTTAATTGGCGATCGTACTTTTAAGTAGCTAACAAACCGAAGAATATTTCGCATATTGAATACAGTGCCTGTGTTCACAATCGTCCTCACTTATCTAAGCATCACTTGCCCGTCTAAACTTTACATTTACTCTATGATTTGTTGACTATAAATGAAGCTTATACCCTATCTACAAACATCTCTTCTTCTCTAATGGTAGGGCTGAGATGCATTATAATGAATAGTTAAAATTTATCCTCTAGAATTCTTTTTCAGATATTGACAAATTCTCTAAACTCTACCCTAATTCTCTAAACTCTCCATGCAATTTTAGAATAATTTAGAATTTAATTATCCCAACAAAGCACGGGCTATCACACACTTCAATTTTCTTTTTTCCTTAATGAGACAGAGAATCAGTTTACTTTAGTATCTTTTAGATCTAAAAAAATAAGTGGAGGCAAAAATATATATTGGAGTATTTTAAAAAATTGAGGGTGGGCATTTCTTATATTTTTATAAAATACATAGATAGTAATACCAAAAAAAAAAAAAAAACATTATGGGTCCTGCCCACACATATATAACTTGTGGTAAGGTTAAAACTTGCCATATTCTGTCAGTAATTTCTTTTATATCGTAAATTTGTCTTGTAATTATAAAATGTTATGATGGTAAATTCATTATATATTTTTATAAATATATAGTGGCAAATTTAATAAAATAATTTCATTTCTCATAATTCAATAAATAATTTTTATGAATTACCATAAGTAAATAGCTCAATCATATTAAATTCTTTTTCTTCATCGTTAATTGAAAACTAGGATTTTATTTTCTCAATGAATAAATCTCTTTTACTTACTTCTATGACATAGATGTCACATATTTTTCAAAGATTAACACTATCGTTTTATTTCATTTTCATTATTGTACAACTAAAACTAATCATGGTCCAAGAGGGGAAGGGTAAATGCGAGAGAAGCTCCAATGGTACTTTATAGTGGATATTTTGTACATGAGAGCAGTCACGAGGAGGAAGTGTTTCACATGCCTGCAATATTATTTATAGCGTCTCTGCTTTCTCATCCAACAACGTAAAAAACAACAAAACCGATGATAACACCAATTGAAATTGGTGGGTCTAAAATAAATATATATATACCATTCACATCCATAAAGAGAGACACATAGAATATCAAATAACGTACCACATGCAAAGAGAAATATGTTTCTTAATAACTCATAATTAAGTAATATTTACAACTCTTCTACTTCAATAAACACTTTTTTTTTTTTTTTGAAAGATTACTTCAACAAACACTTGATAAACATTAATTTCCTCTCTATAAATTTACATAAACAAGGAAGGTGAAATCGAATTAAATAGGCTTGAAATGAAGCCTATTCAAAGAAAAAGGTATTTAATTTGAATAGCTCAGGAGGGATAGACAAGGAAGGAGAACATGAGTTGGGCGGGAACGAGGAAAGCATCTTACAAACCCTACACAAGTAATTCCTGGTGTAGGGTGTGTAACAATGCAAAAACTAAGAAGAGAAGACAAAGGGTAGGGTCTTACAAGGCCAAGAAAAGGTCTTACAAGGTCAAGAAAAAAAAAAAAAAAAAAGGTTTACAAGGTCAACGGGAATGGAGATAAGAAACAAATAAAGGGCAACAAGTCAGAAAAAAATAAATTAAAAAGGAAGAAAATAAAAAAGAGATAAAAGAGGAAAAGCTCAGGTAGGATAGCACCCAATTAACACGAACAAACCACCATTAAAATGGAGCTTCCAATGCCTAATTCAAAACCACCCGTGACACTTCTGTTGGCGAAGAAAGCTTCTCGGCCATGTTTTTCATTTTCTGGAGCTTTGGACATGGTGGTGGTGGATCCATAAGTGCTAATTGCTAGAAATTGACCTGCACCATATATTATACCATGTATATATATATATATATATATATAGTTAGTGAAGATTAATACTAATAGGCAAAAGAAATAACTTTATGTATGATTTGTTATGTTTATAGAAGTTATCCATGTTCAGATAAAAAGCTTAGCTTGTAGTCCGAAATTGTACAAACTAAGAAATTAAATCAATGTGACAATTGACAATATTAAAATATATATATATATGTATGTATGTATGTATGTTTCAACATGCCATATATACTATGGTTTCATACCTTGTACAAAGTCCTGCCTTTCTTTTCGCTCTGGAGTTTTGTCTCTCTTCCCCATAAACAGAGAGAGAGAGAGAGAGAGAGAGACCCGGTGAATGGTGAATGGTGAATGATGAATGAATGGAGAAATTTGAGGGGATGAGATGGGCTTATATGGAGGAGAGATTCGGGGGCAGCAAGTGGGCTGCCCTGATGGACCTGACAAGGACTGGTCCAAGGCCCAGAAAGAATGTAAAACCGAATCCTATGACGTCAGCAACGCAGTGTGCTCCGCTGACCGTCAGGGGTATAACGGTCAGTTAAATTAGCCAAGGCATTGTTTCCTAGGCGGTCCGTACGATGTGTGAGGATTATTAAATGGCTCTATGTCTGTCCATGTGGCAGCATCCCATTCGTTGTTAAGAAGTGGTCAGGGAACACGTGCGGTTGCAATTGTTGCACGTGTCCATGACAACTTGCTTCCATTTTCTTTGCCCTTTTCTTTTTCTTTTTCTTTTTTTTTTTTGTATTTTTTTATTTATTATTAGTTACCTCAGTGAGTGAATGTAACTGTAGTGCAGTGAGTTGTGAATATTATCAATTTTCAAATTTTTTTTTCACTACCCCCTATCCCAAGTAATAATGTATAAATTTACTAAAGCATCTATAGAATTATCACTTGATTCGACTAAAATTAGTGTTATTTTTAATAAGAACTTCAGTCATGTTAGCAAGTATAATTAGAATAATTACGAAAAGCAATTCTATATGTGTGTGTATATATATATATATATATATTATATATTTGGTTACCTCAAATTCAAAGAGGTAAAAATCTTTTAACAAAAACTAATGTCAAACTTGTAGACGGAATTACCATTATAAGTAATTAAAAAATTGCACATCCTTTAAATTCGAAAGATGATGTCAATTAATAACAAATGATCGGATCCACACCTCATTCACATTTTTGCTATTTGGTATGTTCTGAATTAAAAAGATGCATCATTATTACTCTAAATAATTTACTTCAAATTTAAGTTCAGTTATTTATTTGATATTGATATTTAAATTTGGACTCATGTCATGTTTGAGACGACTTATATTAGTTTGGAATAATTCATAACATATCAGATTTTTTTAGTTCAAACTCATACCACCAAATTAGTGATATTGTGTCTTTTGGTATTGTAGCCGAAGATGTAAAGCAAATTTTTTAATTTCTCAAAACAAATTTTCGTTACCAAACATGATTTCAATTTCTACACAAAACACTCCTACAACAAAACGGTTGTTTTGGATTGACCAATAACATAACGTTTAAAACATATGGCATGCCAAATTGACCCTAAGCCACAAATTTAAAGGGCATTTTTGGATTTATGACTTTGTACACTTGGAAAAGAAAAAAAAGGATTATATGATCTCTAGATAAATATATCTTGACAATAAACTAAGTAGTAGTGCATTGGTGAAAAAAGAAAAAGAAAAAGTAGTGGTACATTAAATTGTTTAGTTTTGATTTGTTTTTGTTAGATTTTTACGATGAAATACTAAAATGATAATGACAATGAACAAAAGGGGCATGGGAAATGGAAGCGTGTGGGCATGCGGGTATGGTCACACAGTCTTCTAAAGATGCATGCGGTCAAACTAGTGGGATATGTCTCCTTCCTTGTCTTGCGTTCTCACACTTTCATATTTATGTATTTAAAGTTCCTATATAATAATTGGACAAGATCCTATCTGTCGTTGGATTTTCTGTACGATCTTTTTATAAAGAATTCAATGAGTGAGATTAAATTGATAAATGAAATCTATTAATGATAATACAATCTCATCTATAGAATTATGTGCAAGAGAAATTCAGTAATACTGGAAAAGATACTTGTCCATAATAATTTTCATGCCCATTATATTCAGATTTGTTTTTAATTGAATTTTCTTTTAAAAAATTTGTCATTGTATAATTAATAAAAAGGGCAAAACTTCCAACTATTTGTTTTCGAAAATTTTCAAACATTATTAAAAAAAATTGAGGGAATAAGGATGATATTTTACTCATCCCAACCAATTCGAGGAAGTTTAACAGGGTGCGTAGGGCATAGAACCCCAAATGGAGCGGATTCATGTGAATTCAAATTCAAATTTATGTTTTAATGTTAAGATTCATATTTGTATATATCCAAATTGGTATAAGAGCCAAAAATGAAAAAGATCCACAAAACACAAAAAGTCTCGACATGTGCTGCAACACGCATCAATTGTAAATGGAGTCAATCGGCTTGGTTACATGGCATGGAGCTCGAGTGGCCAAGGTAGAGTCCTGGAGGTTTGACTGATCAAGCAACATATAATGTGGATAATCGGGGTTTTGCAGGAGTATCGTCAAGATTGAAGTTACAAAAAAATTATCCTGATCAATGTCATAGAAAGTAATAATTGGTTGGATAAAATTTGAATTAAGGTGAAGATTGTTAAAAATGTAATTTTTATAGAGTAAAATACACCTCTTTGATTCAAATTTCTGGTGAAACTTGACCGACTAAAAAAAATTAAACAAGTTCACATCTGAACCAAATCTATTATGATCTTTTAACAAAAATCAGTATCTGAAGTAGTTTTTAATTTATATTCAATAATTAAAATTCATACACGTTAAAATGGTTTATGAATCAAACCTTAGGTCAAACTCACGTCGTGTCAAATCCCACAAAACTCTAACATGAGAAAAGATAAGGATGGGGCACCTTATGTAGACAAGGCCAAGTGGTATCCCATATTCATTCCAATGTCCCACCTAAGAGGGAAATACTGGAGAAATGTTTGCTTTGAATATTAATTTAGGCAAAGTGAGTGTTTTTACACATAAATTTTTATTAACTCAAGATTTAAGGTTAAATTGTATCTTAATGTAAAAATATTAAAATAACTGAACATAGTGTCTTCTAAATTTCCAATGATTTAGTTATGTGTATGTATACAAAATTATGTACACACCTTCCTTGATTTTGGCTGGTGCCCCGCCTGACCTAGTGCAGGAGCAGCACTCGCATGATTCCCTTTTTATGGTTCTTTTTATAGTATAAACACATACCATGCCTTGCAATAACATTGATTGGTTTTTTATTTTTCTTTTCTAAATTCATTCTTTTTCTATAATTCAATTTCTCATTTTAAATTAAATTTTGTGCTTGTAACCAAAGAAATCTTAGTGTCCATGCTTCCTTGTGTCTTTCTATAGTATGTAGAAATTAAATTTAAGTGAAAATTTATGTAACCCTAGCTTAGACATTAATGTTCCGTTTAATAAGAAGGACGCAAAAGTGAGTGTAAAAGAATATTATAAAGTTTTGAATGAGACATTCTTAGAGAATGAAATGTATCATCAAACCTTTTCGTTTGATTGGAAGGAACAGAATGAAAAATTTTATATGTTAGTTTTTTATTAATTAAAAATAATAATGTCACTTCACATAGTATATACTCTAATAATTATTCACATTTTTCACTCCTCTTTTCCATTCAATTTTGAGAGGATGAAAATTTATTAGTGAGGAGGGATGAGTTATCCATCCATCTTATCTTCCCACCTCTTTCCTTCTTGCCAAACATTGAAAACCTGTTCCTTTTCCCCCTCTCATTCTTCCCTCCTGGCAAGTGAAAGCATGATACAAACCAATTTGTCATGTAAATTTATATATGAATTGCGAGTACAAATTGTGGTTGCAGCACCCTTTTTGTGATTTTTTGGTTCTGATCAAAGTGTCCAAAGTAGGTGATTGAAGGGTTACATCAATATCTACTAAAAGTCTAAAACATAAACCTTATATGCCCCCACCTCTCTCTCTCTCTCTCTCCCCCCCCCCCCCCCCCCCCCCCCCCCCCACGTATTTAACAAGGTATGCCAAACTTAAAAACTCTCACTCTCTCTCTCTCCACAGATTTAACAAGTATGCCAAACTTAAAAATTATTCTCTGAGCCCACACAATACTAAACTCTCAAATTTTGGACTTATATCATTTTTCATCATGAACCATTATTGAGCATTAGGTTAACATGCAAGATTGTCGAATGTTTAACTTTGCCAGTGAACTATTATAACCCTCTTGCTTCACACAAACACATACTATATTGTGTTCAAATAAAGGGTAGAGAGAATGAGAGAGAGATGCAATGGAGGTGTTTTTTTTTTTTTTTTTTTTTTTTTTGGGTGAAGGTAAGCTTCAATGGAGATGTTGATAGAATGACTACTAGCTAATTTAGGACAAGGAACCAAAAAAATAAAGGCATGCACTATTGGTAGTAACCCAAGTCACATAAAGCTAGTGCGAAAGTGGGAGTGCATAAAAAAGATAAAATTTAAGTCATACAGAATGAGAATAGGAACGAGAGCGTGCGCGGAACACAAAAACAGAAGTATCGCGGAACGTAAGGGCGACACCCGTTTAGAAGAATTGTGTGATTTAGGTAGTGACATATAATTAGAAGAAGGTAAGATGCATCATTTAGTTGCCTTCATTTCATGATATGACTTGAAATGATTAATGTCTATATAACTAAATCAGGAAAGTAATAATGTAAAAATTTAATATTAATAATGTAAATACTTAATCAAAAGTTATATATATATTCTTGAAAGTTGAAGTACCACTCTTCAATTTGTCGTGCTTGTGTCCAAAGTTGAGCTGTTTTGGTACTGCCCCATCTTGAATATGCTCCATTGGAAGAAGAAAGAAACACAACCTGCCAAGATTCTTGCAGACAAAGAGACAATAATTTGAAAAATGGTATGGTGGTCCTCCTACAGTTTCCTGGTAAAATGGCAGCAACATCTCTAATTTAATCTCTCTTATTGCACACTCTCCTATCACTACTTGAGTTCCTCACACTTTACAACTGGACAGCTGTTGGATTTCCATTCACGAGATTGCTCGAATAGATAATCATTTTTACAGTAAAATATTCATCTTGACGAGAAATTATCTACATAATAAAATATGTATCACAAACACCAAGTGCCAATGTTAAAGAATGGTACGAGTACCTATTTAGTTGTCAAACAGAATCCATCGTGGATTTGAAATATTACTAAGGTGAAAATTTCCTTGATCTTCATTTTAAAACCCTTTCAGAATTGTGAAATAATTTCAATACCTTGGGTGCCTGGTTTATATTATTCCACCCAATCAAAACTCTCAATTTTTCTTCATAATAGAGATCCTAAAAGTTAGAGAGATTATATCATTATGACGTTATTAAATAAATGTGACAGAATTGAAACGAGACAACTATTTTATATTGGTACGGCAAACATGCCGAGTCTAGTGATTTGCTTAGGAGGCACAAGGAGTTTGAAGAGGTGTGAGTGTTCACACTCAAGATTATTACCATTTACTCCTATGGAGCTCATTTCTACCATTCTTTGGACTTCACCACAAGAGAACAATGAACAATCACCTGATTCTGATTCTGAAACACAAAATGCCCCCACATCAACATGCATGCAGATTGATGATGACTTGTCATAGTAGTTAGGGCTTAGGCCATGCCCTTCTGTTGTAGGGTAGTACTTAGCCCCCTCCCAATAGAAAAAGTGATATATGCAAGTAGTTCATATTTTTTTTCTTGTGATGTAAGGGAGATGATATTTCAGTATTAATTGGTTGATTGGGATTTGGGAGCTAGCTAGGTGACCAGTAGCTTTCCTCTCAGGAATTTCCTGAAACAGTAATGATTATACCCACAGTGATGGATGGAGTGACCTAGCTAGATTCACTAATGACAAGTGAGTGGACCACTTTATCCCTTGTCTTTGCTTCCTTGTTACCTTATTCTCTTAACCCTACATGTACATATATACTATCAGACTGAACAACCCTTCACTCCATGCCAAACAAATTTTTAATTGAATTCAATGCCCCAAGTCATTGGGTAGTGTTACACAGACGAGTGCCTGTAATGATCCAGTCTCGTATATTAATTTGATGAAATTGACTTTATAGTGAAATCATGTCTATTCTACGGGAAGCTATTAGATATATGAGGAGGTAGCGGTTATTAAATATCCGGGTCATTCAGAATACTTTATTTATTTTCTATCTTTAAGATAAATAAAAAAATTAATTTGCCACAAGTATTCAATAACCGCTACTCCCGGGTAGTCTATGGATGCCTACCCAGAATATTTTATTGGGTTGGGCCAATGTTGAGTATAGACGACCCAGTTCAATACCCTGGGCCTTGTATGGGCCAAACCCTGATGGGCTAGAACCTACGGTAGTCATGCTATTGTGTCTTGGGCCATTGTTTTGACCCAATCCAAGATCAAGACGAATGACCTGAAGTAAGATTGAGAAGATGAGGGTCTCCAATACTAGAATCACCAACATCTAGCTTCGGTATCAAAAAATTATCTAAACCCATTTGGTTCATTTCAAAAAGTATATGATTAGTAAATTTAACCACCACATTGGCATGATTTGCAAGTATATAAATTATTTAGAAAATAATTAACGAAGCCAACTTTATTATTTCAAAACTATATAAATGATTTAGTCAAAATTTTGATTTATTGAAGTGCTCCTCTTCCCTCTAGTAGGAATAGACAATGCTTAACCCTTGCTCTTAATACTAATCCGAATGGGGATGTTATAATTCGCTTCTTTTAGGTCATATAGTTTATAAGGTAAATTACACTCACACCCTATAAGGTTAGATCATATTTCAGCTATATGAAGATTTTGATTTTAACTTTCACTCACACCACAATATACTTTTTGCTTGCGAATTGACCATTTTACCCTTAACTTTTTAATACAAAATATATATAATCTTAAATGACAAAAAAACCCCTCTGTGTGTGTATATATATATACTGTTTGTACACGTATCACTTATGGTCCCTATCAATCCTAACCGTCCAAACTCACACATCAGCACCTTCTGCCTCCTCTCCCTGCAAACCAATCCTCTTCAGATTCTTTGTCAATGATTTCACCGCCGATTGGGATTTTGGAAAAATTCAATCAACTAATTATACTAAACATATAATTAAATCTATTTTTGTGAGATTCAAAGGACAGTATTGTTGATGGCCAGTCATTTTGATGGTGATAGCCTTTGATTTCATTTCATCCTCATCTCTAAATTATCATGTTATGTACTCACTTTCACACCGACCACATCCCCACCTCACTATCTGATCGGCGACAGGGAAGCGGCAGTGGCATAGATATCTGAAGAAACCACCGACAATGATGATGAACTTGGAAGACGTCGGTGAGTTTGGGTGAATTTTCGGTGTTTGGGATTATTTTTTGGCAATAATGAACTTATCATCTGTGGACAAAGAGCTAACGGGCTACTGCCCGATAAGCCGTCGGAGGAATTAGTGAAGTCAACGATTCTGCGGAGAGAAATCAAGCAATCATAGGCATAGTTGTTGATTTTTCTGATCAATTGAACTACTTCTTGCTTTGAGATTGGAGGAGGTAAGTTGGAGGGAGGAGTGGTCAAATTCCGACGGTTGATCGGATCAAAGGTGGATAAGACGGCGGAGCGTGTTGGGGACGAAGTCGGTGGTGTCGAGGATCTGCATGGTGGCGGGACAGGTGTTGTGGGCGGAGTTTGGTTGATGGGTTGGGTTCATACTTCATAGGTGACGCCGGTGAAGATGAAGAAATTTGGTTGATGAGTTTTGTCAATAGGTTGGCTTCTTTGGATCTGTAGTTTGGTTGATGGGTTAGGTTCTTTGGATCTGTTGACGGACAGGTGTTGTGGCCGGAGTTTGATTGATGAGAGCTTGCCGCTGGAATTTGGTTGATGGGTTAGGTCTGTAGGCGTTGCCGGTAAGGATGAAGAAGTTTGGTTAATGGGTTGGGTCTGTAAGTGATGAGTTTAATTGATGGGTTGGGTCTGCAGGTGACGCCGCTGAAGTTGAATTGGTTGAACGATCGTAGGTGACTGGTTGTTGTTGTTGATGTGGCCTTCTTAGGTTTATGTTTGTTGCGATCATGACGTTGATGGTGACAAAGGGTGATCGGTATCACCGAGATGGGTCTATGAAGAGAGAGATTGTAGGAGAGAAAAGATGGCTTATGCGTGTAAGTATTTCGCTGGAGAGAGAAGATGGCTTATGTGGGAAGTATTTGGCTGACGTGGATATTCCTCTCCCTCTTGGGTATGTTGGGGCTAGTTTAGTCATAAAAATAGTCAATACGTGGTCAAAGGGTAATATAGTCATTTAACACCTCAAAAGTATTCTGAACTCACCAAAAATTGACATTTGGGGTGTAAGTGAAATGCTAAACCACTAATTCAAATATAAGTGAAATTTGAAATCAAAATCTTCATATAGCTGAAATATGACCTAACCTCAGGAGTGTGACTGTAATTTATCTAGTTTATATATCAATTTTTCTAAAAGGTAAAGAAGATGCTACTAAGTTGCAACAATCATATGCTAAAGTATCATTTGATCAATTATTTTGTATAAAAAATAATATAACTGAAATAATAAAACAAATGAGATGATGGGAGGCGAACTGGCCTTGGGCCAGTCTTTTTGTTCATCCCTAATAACTACAGCTAATGGAGAAGAATGGTTCGCAGATTGTAAAAATAGACTACCAAAATAACACTGAGAGTACTCCAGTAACCCGACCACAAGATTTTATCATGGCCAGCAATCAAGAGAGAGAGACAGAATCATTCCCTCGCAAACAAATCATGCCATGTATGTAATTCTATATGTATATACATCATACTCAAAAGCATTCCCAGCCTACAGGGGGCAGTTTCTGCTTTTAGCATCGCAAATTTAGTGTTTATCAAACTCAAAAGGCATACCCTGACCATTGCAGCTGCTTCTGGGATCACGAGCCACTCTGATCAGCCTAGTGAGACTTTATCTAGCCACACAATAAACAGCTTCTTTTACAAATATTGAAAAAACAGTAAGTTGATTGGATTAGTTATCTGGCTCTTACACTGGACGAATCATGAGTGTAACACTGAATAAAGCCTCAAAACAACATTAGAAAATTAGCTTCAAATGGAAGCAGAAAACCTGGTTGGTAAGCAGGCAAGCAGCAAATATAACTTAGCTAAACATTACAGTTGAGTGACAACCACCTAAAATTTCCATACTTCAATTTGAGTGATACAAGAACATTGCAACGGATCATTAGTAATACTGTACCAAACTTGATTCCAAAACTTTCATTGAAATTACACGTAGGCTGTCAAACCTGATTCCAAAGCTGTATTGTATGAAGATGGACATAAGATATGGATTGACATGGATGAAATGACATCACAAACTTTTGAGAAATAGGAAACAAACAAGTCAAGGACATGACAAGAAAAATACAATGTGCAGTGTGCATATGCATGCATACATGTGCATGTTTTTTTTTATCTTCTAGTATAGAAGCTAAGGCAGCCATGATTGTTTATTGATGATACTATTTTTCAAATTTTGAGAAACATTAACTGTTTTTTTATTATGCTTTTCACTTTAAAATTTGACACAGAACGGACCTTGGAGCAACGCTAAGGTTGCTCCATTGTAACCTGGAGGTCACGAGTGAACAGCCTCTTCACATGCAGAGGTAAGTCTGCATCTTTGACCCTCCCAGTCCCCGCAATGGCGGGACCCTCTTGCACTGGGCTGGCCAACCTTTTGAAATTTGACGCCCAAGTATATGACATGTTCAAGTTTTTAAAATTCAATGCTAATGAAATACTCTCTATGAATTAGCAACTTCAGTCCTTATTTTGTTAAGTTCACAATATTTGAGTATAGAGAGAAAGAGAGAGAGGTAAGGCTTTCATTTCGAATATCGAAGTTATGTAGCATTCTTCCAATAAAAAATCAGGGTAAGTTCAAATATGGATGATGCAATAAATTTCGATTTTAAAAGTATTATGTGTGAAATTAAAATTCATCCAATGTAAGAAGAATATAAGTCCATAAATGTGTGTGAATGTGTGTGTTTGAGTGGGCGAGCCAAGAAATATGCTTTTTCCTTTTTATCCTCCTCCTTTCTTTTCCAAACATTGTGGGCTAACATAATTCCACTTCCCAATAGAGTCCACTTAATAAAAACAATATTCTTTAATTATTAATCATATAAGTTACCATGATAAACAAACTCAATAAGAGTTCTTCATTAGATAAAAATAAAATTGAAAAAGGAAAAAAGAAAAACAAAATCCTACAGTAAGTTGTAATTTGTAAAAAAAAAATAAAAAGCATTACAAGAAAACATTTTCTCTCACCAAAGAAGGGCAAGGACAATAATATGTTGTCATGCAATGTACTAATATTGGTAGGAAACAATCCAAATTAAATTAAAGCAGGTAGTAATGATGAAGAAAAATGTGATGCTTGCCTCTTTAGTCATACCTGATTGCATCAAATTGGTTAAATCCAAAGTTTTCGGAATGTAAGGGACCCTTGGTGGATTTCTCTGTAAAGCTTTGTTCTCTATAAAGGGCACAAATTGCATTCATACAGAGTTCAGGATCCCTCTAAAACGTTGAAATTTTTCATTGTTCTTCTTTCTGCAGAGCTCTGCGAGCATGTTATTCATGTCAGAATCAGTGCAGGTTTCATCTCCTGAGCTGGAGCTGTCTTCACTATCAGAACTAATTCCATCTGGTATAAATTTGCTCAAAAGGATTTGTAACATTTTGTTCAGCCTTGATTTTCTCTTGACATTGTCCAATTATAACTGATCCTTGCCTTGGAGGGAAGACAGCTTTTGCTATATCAATACTGCCAGAATCAGGAATTGCTCTGTAGGCATTGCTGGGAGAAGGCTTACCCCCATAAGACAACTGCTGAAGTTGCTTCCTCTTATGTTTTGAAATTAAGGTCTTATCATCATCGTCCTCACTCAGACAGAGATTAGAACACAAAGCACGTTTTCTTTTGGTTATTTCCTTTACTATGGGGATTTCATCATCGCTGTCACTGATCTCAACGATAACACCAGACTCAGGTTTCTTATTAACTCCCACGGAAGAACCTATCAGTTTATCAGAGCTCTCCACTTCAAACACCAACTCCTTTTTAATGAGAACTTCATTGTCACAAGCCCTGCTCATGGAATTTGGACCTGCAAAACACGTATAGACCAATACAAGAAAAAATTTGGCATTGGCTTTGATTTCAAAAAATTACTTGTTTCCAAACATACAAAAACTAAACATATAGAGCTCCTGGTTGAGAAAGGGGCAGAGTGCACTACAATGCTAAAACTACTAGCTGTGGACCTTGCAGATGGATGGTAAAGAAAATAAGTTCTTGCTTGTTATGTCCCTACTAGGAGCTACAGTTCCCCAATGATGAAAGACCAAAACAAAAAATTACTTGATCCAATAGAACTACAATGGATTTACCCTGCCTCTGCTGCGTAGCATCCCGACCTAAGTCACATAGAGTGAGTGTCGGGTGCGGGAGCGAAAGCAAGAGTGGGTGCGTAGGAGGTCTCTAGAGCATGTGTATGTTATATGTATATATACTTATTTTACAAAAAATATGATTATATCAGTTTATTAAATATTATTTTGGTCTATTTTCTTTTAAATAATACAAAATGCCTTTAATAATGTATTTGCATACGTATGTAATATTAAGGGTAAAGTACAGCACACAGGTAGACCATTCAGAAATTATTATTTTGACCTCCCCTAAACCCACTCACCGGCTGCCAGAAGGTGACTTTGAGTGTGAAAAATCAATAACGCCCTTATATTATAATAATATATAATATTGTAAATATTTGTCAATCTGAAAATCCACGCGACCTGTGCTTAATTTGCCCAAACCTCAAGGAAGGCCAATGTAATTTACTCCACTGTCTTTTCATACATGGGAAGAGCAAAATATGCATTTTATAAAATTTGGTCAACAGGTTTGCCAGAGAGAAAACGCTAGAGGTCAAAGTAATAAACGTTGAACGGTCTCCGCGTGTGTAATTTGCCCAAACCTCAAGGGTAGTCAGTGTAATTTATCCTGATATTAACGAACACTCTATGAAGTAATTTGTACAATGTACTTTTTACATCCTGTGAGTCTGTGACTAAGATCCAAAACAAGAGTCCACTTATATTGTTGCCTCGGTTGTTATTATAGTGACCCATGTTGTTAGTCCACTTACATTGTTGCCTCAGTTGTTAGTATAGTGACCCATATGTTGTCACAAATTACTCTGATTTAGTCAATTCAGGTTCTCGTAGTCAGTCTCCAGGAAAAAAATAGCTATTATATCAATTTGAGGGATCTCAAAAGCTAACAAAAGCACATCAAAACATTTAAAATGCAAGAAAGTTCAACCTATAAATCTTCATCAAAGAAGAACCAGCATATACTTCATGCAATTCTGGGGGTGATTTAAAGCTAACAAAAGCAAATTAAAATATCTAAAATATACTAGAAAGTTCACAAATCAATTATTTGTCATAAGTATAGTGAACAAACAGTTATTTCCTCTCTTCAAATAAGGTTATATTCAATACTGTTGCCAATCTTCATTCATTGTCAAAACCATTTCTCCGATTACAACTCCCAGATGTTTCTAAGGCTCAGAATATCTTTAGAGGATCATTACCGTAACAATTGTAATAGAGAATCACTCAGACTACCTTGTTCAATATTCAAATTCCTCACAATTTAAAACATGCAAAGTATTAACCCAAAGTGAAATGGAAGTAATTAATAAAAGTATCAAAGAATATCAGATTTTAGAAATACCTGCCACTTGTAAACCATCAATTTCAATTACTGGGCCACTATCTGAAACATGGGAATTTGATAGAGTCTGTTTAATTTGTGTATCTGCCAAGTTGGTGCTGCTTTTACCAACACTCGTTCCATTTTGGAATTCCCCATCATCACAGGTGCCTTTCTCTTTGATACCCTCTCTTGGAACCTCATAGTGGCAATTTGATACACTCTGTTTGGGCCCATTGTTTCCAGAACCTGTTTTATTTTGGGGTTTGACAACATTACAGGTTTCTTTCTTCACAATTTTTTCATCAGAAACAGGTTGTTCTGCTTTCAAGGCCTCATCTAGCTTACTATGAGGCAAAGGGTCCCTGATCATCAACATTGCAGTTTCCTCCTCCAACTGCAGAACCCGTGATTCGAGTTCTCCAAACTTTCTCTTCCAAGCTTCTACCTCACCCTCAGCTCTTCTCTTTGTGGCGTTCGCGCACTCCAAATCCGTGTTCTTAACCTTTACTTGAAGAAGCAGCTCCCTCTTATCAGCCTCAGCCTTTGTAAAATCCTCCAACAGCTTTGCACACCTCTCTTCTGCTCTTTTCGCTCTATCAAACTGAACTGTTTGATCTTCCTTAGAGCGAGTGACTTGCTCTCGGAGCTCATCACACTCTCGCTTGCGTTTCTTCAATTCATCATCAATCTCCAATTTCGCCAATTCCAATTCACATTTTCTCTTTTCCGTCAACTGGAACTCTTTTTTCCAAATCTCAATTTCTTTCGACATATCATTTATATTCCTCTTCAGGTTCTCTTCGCGAGCTACTAAGATTAGTTGTACCTCATCGAACTTCGATCTCAGCATCGAAATGAGGTTTTGGTCATTATCAGAACCCAAATTGACCGTCGATTTGGACCCTGAACTCATGGCTTTGTGTATAATCTAGCAAAAACCTGAGAAAGAAACCAATTACTATATATCTTCCACATTTCTTATGTTTAGCGAGTTAATTAAGAGCTTGCTATATACACGCACCTATATAGAAAGAACCAAACACCGCCAAACTTGGTGTGTGGACAAAAGTTTGTAGACGAAAGATTTACCTCGTTGATCGATTGTTTGTGGTCTCTTCTTCGTTTATGGGTTCTTCTGATCAAATAGGTGCAACAAATGAAAGCAAATCGAGAGAGAAAAAGTAAACCCTAACTCAATCATCCTTGTTTCCTCTCTTTCGATCTTTCAGAGAAAGAGAAATTCAAACGGACCTTTGTGAAGGGTATGAACTTTCGAAACACCAAATTTGACTGATAGAAACTTAGAACGCCTAGAAATGTAGAGAGAGAGAGAGTTGCAGAGAGAGAGTGTGTGGGGGTTCAGAGCTGCAACCGGTTAGAGAGAGAGTGTACGGAGGGGTTTAGAACTTCTTCGCGTATAAAGCGGGAAGTATATTGGGAGTTGGGACAACCACGCAAACTTCATGAATCATTTTGAGTAATTTAATACTATGAGATAGTGAGATCATCTTGAGCAATTAAAAATTCTCCAACTCACTAATTCTAATTAAATATTAATAATTATTATTAATGCAAAAATTTGTACGATTTAGAGTCGAAATGAGTTTATTCGATTTTAATTTTTTTTATTTGATTTTAATTTTCTTACAGATATAATATTTTGTGTCAACAATGATTCTCCGATTCAATTAAGCCATGAAAATATTTTTAATAATTTTTATTTTATATTTTTAAAAACTAAATTATAATTTGGAGTATGACGGTACTTTTAAGTTATAACTGTGTTATTTATATTTTTAGAGAAAATAAGTAAGTGGAGTTGATGTAGTTTTAACATAAAGTTAATGTGGTGTGGGTGGTTAGTTAAAATAGAGTAGTGATACACGTATCAAAGATTTGTAATGAATTACTTAACGAAATGATTTTTTTATTAAATATTTGTGCTAAATACAAGTAAGTGGACGATTCTACTCCCTTATTTGTTACATAAATAACCAATTAAAAACATTACAACGGGTCTAACAATTTAGTGCTAATACTCGGTACAAAAATCATTTTGATACGAAGGAGTTGAGTTAAAAAGTTAATTGCAATTAAATATTTGAAAGTTGGGAGTTGCAATTTCTTCAATGAAGCGTTGAAGATGAAAACTTATTATAAGATGGAGATATAATTTTTTAATCTTGAATTATATTTTGATCATATTTATAGAGCATTGCTTCTTTTTATCTAACTCATTCTCTTGATTATGTCCTCTTGTTCTATGATTTTGCTCCTTCTCTCCTATCCACCTGTGGCAAGAGTGGCGTTGTACAACCATCAATGTTATCAAGTAAAAGTTAATTTTATTTTTGTTTTGTTACAACTTGAATCTTGTTTATACTTGTGTAGAGGTTATTTATTTTGTAGTTTTCTAAATTGTTCTTTAATCAATTATAAATGCACGTAACTCTATATCGAGGTATAAAAGAGTATTATCTTAAATATAATATTTGATATGTAACATACCTACATTCTCTAGCTTCATTCATGGCTTTTAAGATCCCATTTTAAATTATATAACATTGTTACCAGAGTTGCTCAAAATAGCCATTGATAACTGTTACAACTTTGTAGCCTAATGCCTATTAACGGCTGCTTCAAAGTTTAAATCTCACTATGATTAGATGGGCCTAAATATTTGGTCTTGAATTGTTAGCTTTATGTCTTTTGTTTGGGCTGAGTTTATCTCTTTGGATAGCCAACTTTGTTGGGCTTCCACCCCCCTATCTTGGACCAGACTGTACATTTCCTTATACTCTTTAGTCTTTGATGAACATTAGATTTTTTTATTTTTTTATTTATTTATTTTTTAATCTTGACAAATTAGGGGTGAGGTACTCAAACACAAACACAACCCAGAAAGCTGAGCAATACCATATTGGATTGCTAAATGCTATTTATAATATTAGACAATACTTGCCTACTCACTGATGAGTAAGAAACTTATATTCACCATTAATGTGGTACATTGTTAAACTGATAAGTGTCCTTATATTTAAAAAAATTTAAAAATAAACAAATCTAAGGTCACTTAAAAATCTATCATATGATTTGCTCATTTGACATGGTCAATACCAACACACAAAGAAATGAATTCATCTACCACTCAAGGCCCTGGTCCATCTTTCTATAAAGTTGCTGGACAAAAAAAACAGTTGAAACTTTAAATTAAATGGGGCTCTATCTATGCATGGATGAGGAATGAGACTCGTATTGACTAGACAGTGAAACATCATGAGAACTGGAATGACCCTCCAATTTAAGAATTACCGATGGTGGGTTGATTGCCACCCACAAGAGAGATATAGTAATTACAATCAAACGTGAAAAAGAGGGAGATGGGAGAGAATTATAATTTGATTCAGATTTATTTGGGTTTAATCAGATATTTATTAAAATTTTTATTTTTTATTTTTTAAAATATAAGGACACTTGTCAGTTTAGTAATGCGCCACATACGTGGTGAGTATAAGTTTCCTATTCACCGGTGAGTAGGTAAGTATTATCCTATAATATTGGTTAAAAGCAAATTAATATAAATGAATTTCCTTATATATACTATTTCAAACAAGGGTTACCAAGCATATGTTGCAATAGTTACCTTATCAGATGATGGATCGATTATACCAGGTAGTCCCCATGACGGGTGCTTTAGTGATTTTCAATATCCTTATATTTATTTTTAACACATTTACTTTTTATGTGTTAAAAAAACACATTAAATAGATTACTATGTGCTAAAACTATTTTGTTAAAAAATAGTTTTAAATTACTATGTTTATAGATTTAATGTGCTAAAACTATGTTGTTGAAAAATTAATGAAAGGTATGAGAGAGACAGAGATTTTACTTATAATTTATAATGAAATATGTTAATTATGATGGAAATTTGCTGCTATAAATATTTTTCAATGAATAATTCTGATGCTATCTTAGATTTAAGTTAACTTTGTTATTTCATTTTCCTGCCATTAGATATGAATTTTTAAGTAAATTTGACCATATGAAATCGATTTTTAAACAGTAATGAAAAAAAAATATTGATATTAATATTTTAATTTTGGTTTAAATTATTTTAGTATATTATTATCTAAAGTTGCTCGAGACTCGAGTGAAGGAAATTCTTGAGGGTGGGTGATAGGTGTGTACTGGAGAGGTCATCAAAAAATTAACTTCGTGAGCAGACAGGTGTGTACTGGAGAGGTCCAGTGCATTAAATGATTAACTTCGTGTTTGAGCACTTACCGGTCAAACACGTGTCTGGATCACTTCGTGCTCAATCCATCCCACCTTCATTTCTCACCCACACACAAATCTCTCTCTCTCTAGAATGACGTTTATAACACTGATCGTGTCCGCAACAAAGCTCGCCGGAATCTTAGCCACCGTCACCGTCGCCGCCAATGCCTTCTCCTTCTCTCGTTTCCGCAAGAAGAACCTCCGCCCCTTCAGCTCTCCCATCGACGAGTCCTCCGACACTCTCGCCGTCTTCAACATCAATCCCACCGCCGGTAACTTCCACTCCTCAATTCCCTTATTTCCCAATTAATGAACCCTAACTTATATATATATATATATATATATATATGTAGATATTTACATACAAATTACAATTAACATGAATTGAAGCTTCAGACGCACAAAAGTTGAGTGCTTGCTTTATTGTTTACCGCTTACATTTGCGTGTTCATGTTTCTTGTTGTAATTTGTGGTTGCAGAGCTTTGATGTTTAGATGAGAAACTAATCCTTTAAAATGTAATTGTGAACATCTTGAATATCTTTATCAGTTTTGAGAATTGTAAAATTAGGGTTATAGCCAAATTTAATAGCTGACTTAGTGTCGATAAATTTGAATTGAGACAGTTCAAGCTTGAAATGAAGCTCAACTGAGTTTGTTCAAGTGCCTAATTGAGTTCCTTAGTTCGAGTGCTCCAACTTTTGTTCACGTGTGACTGCTTCAAAATCCTAGACTCCTATTTTACTAATTTAAATTGGTTATGAGTCTTATGACAACATTATCTAAAATCTTTCTCTAGAATTAGTCATACCTTATTGGCTCTATATAGAGAGTTGAATAAAATTTGTTTTATCTGGTTTCTTGAGGAGTTACGCTAACCTAAATATAGGCCTCCAAAGTCTAGTAGCTTGATTGAGCTTCTTCTGCTTCCTTTGTTTTGTTTTGTTTTTTTTTTTTCTTTCCTGACTTGTATTATGGGTTTTAGAAGATCATATGACTGAGCTCAGACTCTCAAAGCTCTAGGGCTTTTCAAAGTTGTGAATGATTTAATGATATGAGTTTCGAATGTTTCTTTCTAGAGGGGGAAAAAGAATTCTTTTTTGGATTGGCAACGGCGCCAGCACACGTTGAGGACAGGCTTGATGATGCTTGGCTCCAGTTTGCAGAAGAGAACCCATGTGACGATGCAGAGTCACAGGAAGGCAAGCAAACAGCTGATGCATTAATGGGTTCCACTACTGGTGATGGTGGATCGCAGCCTTCAGCATCTGTGACAGATGCTAATAGGATCGTGAAAAGGAAGAAAGCCCTTAAAATAGCAATGGAAGCCATGATTCGAGGATTTGAGAAGTATATGGAAGAGGAAGAGGAAGAGGAAGAGCACGAGCCAACTGAAGAATGCCATCATAAAGTAGCTGCCTGGCACAACGTGCCGCACCCGTAAGCCCAATTATTCAATGTGATGTTTTGATAGCTGAATGCATAAAATGACATACCTTGCTTACCTCTAGCTATAACGTCTTTTAAGCAACCTTAAATTTATGAGACCCACAAACTTTCATGTGAGATTGTTTATTGATTCAGGGACGAGTGGATTGATTTGAATTTATTTCAGGGAGGAGAGGTTAAAGTTTTGGTCTGATCCTGATACAGAATTGAAACTGGCTAAAGGTACTGGAGTCCGTGTCTTCCGAATGGGAATAGATTGGACAAGGATCATGCCCAAAGAGCCGGTGGACGGGCTCAAAGAAGCCGTAAGTGTGCCACTTAATATATATATATATATATATCCTTATATGTATTGATGTGTCATGATAGAATTTGGTGAAACCTGGATTGGCCTTGCAAATTGGAAAAATACTGAAGTTCAAATTAGCATCTGGAGGCCATCCAAATATTTTATACATCTTCACATTAATCAATCATTGGGTTGCTTTGATAAAATTTTTATCATGTTTGGTTGCTTGTGTGTCCCATTTAGGTCAATTATGCAGCATTGGAGCGATATAAATGGATCATCAATAGGGTTCGCTCATATGATATGAAGGTGATGCTTACTCTCTTCCATCATTCATTACCACCATGGGCTGGAAAATATGGAGGATGGAAGCTGGAGAAAACTGTTGATTATTTCATGGATTTTACTAGGTTAGGCTTCTCTTCTGTGATAGATAAGCCGGTAGTTTTTATCTGACTTTCAGATTATATTTTTCATTGTTAGACATTGTTTCTATTGGACCATATTTTTTCATCCATTTCATTAAATTCAACCAGGGTGAATATTGTACAATACTACAATCTTAACGAGTATTCCTGCAGAGATTTATCTGGATGTTGGCGTTTGGTTTTCTTCAATGTGTCAGTTCAATTCTAATTGGATTCTGCTTTCCTTTTATTAAACTAATGTAGCAATTCATACGCTAAGAGTTAAACAGTAACAAGGTCTTAATGATAATTTTGCAAGGCCCAAGGAAATTAAAAAAAGAACAGAAGAAAAAAAATTATAATTTTTCAGAAAACAATTAGACATAAGGAATAAGATGGCAGACCGCAGACAGCTGGAATACTTTTGGAGAACCTTGTTTTTTACATCAAACACCGTAAGGGATAAGAAGAAAACATATAGACATAGGCTCCTACTGAAATTATGTACTTTTTCGCGGTGACAGGGGTAAGTTTTGTGCACAATGAGGACATGTGGTAAGATTGATTGATTAATAATAAGTTAGCAAGTTCACTCTTAATAAAAGAGTAAAAAAGTTATAGATCGTCATAACCATTTCTTGAACTAACTCAAGGTCAGGCCATTTTTTTTTGACAAATTCGACTCACTATATACTCTGAAATTATGAAATTATGTTCTTGAAATTATGGAAGACTTCATGTGCCTGGATGATATTGTTGTGTTGTACTGGGTGAAAGAATTACTTAGTGAGGAGATAATGTTAACAAACACACTTATCAACAAAAAAAAAATGTTAAACAAACAAATCTATTCTTCTTCATTCTTAGATCTCATTACAAATCCAATATATCAGTGGGATCGAGCTCAAGTTTGGTGTTTGAAATGGCTGGGAAAAACAGTATTGAAAGCTTTGTATGAGATTCTGCACGATCAAGCTCATTTTTAGCCAAATAGTATGGCTGGAGTTGAAAACTTTAATTCTTTCAAACTGAATTTGTCATATTTATTTGAATTTCCTCATTTTAGGTAAAACTATGAACAACTTAATTAATTAATATTTGATTTCCAATTGAAATATGGCTTCTTTTATTATAAAAAATAAAAAATAAAATAAAATATCATGTCTAGAAAACCCTACTCCCTAATTTGAGAACGAAGGATAGTAAGATAAATCTTCATTCAGCGTGACATTTAACTTAAGACGATGAAAAGATTTTTAAACAAAATAGGTACATTTACCCCCACCTCCTCTCCCAAATAAAATATTATGGTTTCATGCATGGTATTATAATATTATTAATGCTTTTTAATGCCCTTCTATTTTGCAGGCTTGTTGTTGACAGTTTATCAGATATGGTGGACTATTGGGTAACATTTAATGAGCCTCATATCTTCTGTATGCTCACTTATTGCGCTGGTGCTTGGCCTGGTGGTAATCCTGATACGCTGGAGATTGCTACTTCTGCTCTGCCTTCTGGTGTTCTCAATCAGACCATGCACTGGATGGCAATTGCACACTCAAAGGCCTATGACTATATCCATGGACACAGGTTTTCTTCCATGCCCATCATATTACACGTTGTGATGAACAATAGAATAATGTGAAAAGCTTGTGTATCACGGACGTATGTTCATGTGTATGTATGTTTATATCTATCTATGTACGTATAAATGTTGGAAAATGCTATCATGAGAGCACTCTCACATGACCTTGTGCACTCAGCCATTGGATCGAGAGGCTGTGAGAAAACACGACTCAATCGATTGGCAGAGCTACCCATGGCCAAGTGGGGACTTTTTCCCCCACTGATTTTTTATATGTTTAAATTTAACATATAGAATTTTATTAAAATTATAATAATGCCCCCACTAAATTTTTGGTAAAGCCCCCCCTATGATGGTAGTTTGAAATTTTTTGATCTATTGTTGTTCAAGACCACCCCCTCTCAAATAACTTTTTGGTTTCGTCACTGACTCAATTGAAAGGCTGAGAGCATCCTCGTGGTTTATAAATGTATATGGACAAGCATACTGAGGGACCTTTCCTTCAGACTGTAATTTAGTCTTTCTGCTGACCACCTTGTAGTTCTGCACTGAGTGCAGTGGGAGTCATGACATAGTGATGGTTTCAGTTATCTTGATTCATTAAATAATTCCGGAATTTGTACTTTTATCACCCCTCTGAAAGAGTGATGGGTTGCATTATTACATCGTTGGTACTTATTCGACTTTGGACCTTTTAGCCAAGTGATTCCCCAGAAATGGACTATTGTACATTATGCAATTTTGCATATAGTGCACTTAATTTAAAGACACCTGTATTTGCCCACCTAGCAGGTTTATTTTTATTTTTTGTTTTGAAACTTTTTCAATTTTTTGACCTTTATTCATTTTGCAGCAGTACCTTATCAAAAGTTGTTGGAGTAGCACACCATGTCTCGTTTATGCGGCCATATGGTCTTTTTGACATTGCTGCTGTTTCAGTGGCCAACTCATTGACTCTCTTCCCATATCTGGATAGTATTTCTGATAAGCTGGATTACATAGGAATAAATTACTATGGACAGGTTTTTACTTCTCTAACCTAGAACACTGTGTTTATCATGTCCACTGAAACATAGTGGCATAATTAGCAGAAAATCTTCTTCATCTTCATTCTTTCTTTTCCCCCAATGATCAGGAAGTGGTCTCTGGTGCTGGACTGAAGCTAGTTGAGACTGATGAATATAGTGAATCTGGACGTGGGGTGTATCCAGATGGCTTGTTCCGCATGCTGCTTCAGTTCCATGAAAGATATAAACATCTAAATGTACCCTTCATTGTTACTGAAAATGGTGTTTCTGATGAGACAGATCTGATAAGGCGACCATATTTGCTGGAACATTTGCTTGCAATTTATGCAGCCATGATTATGGTTTTAATTCTGAACTTACTTTTCTATTGTTCTGGAGTTGTGTTATCTTCCATTTAAAAAGTTAAGGTGTGAGATCCATTCATGGTTATTTTCCAGGGTGTGCCTATACTTGGTTACCTGTTTTGGACTATTTCTGATAACTGGGAGTGGGCTGATGGCTATGGTCCCAAATTTGGACTTGTAGCAGTTGAACGCGCCAATAATCTTGCGCGTGTTCCTCGTCCTTCATACCATTTATTTTCCAAAGTAACAATTTCCCACATATTGATTTGTTTCATATCTCAATGCTTTGCCACTCAGTGTGTTTATCACTAAAACTTTATCTGGCATATGTTGCAGGTGGCAACTACAGGTAAAATCACACGGCAAGACAGAGAACATGCATGGAATGAACTCAACAGAGCTGCTGAAGACGGAAAGACCAGACCATTTTATAGAGCAGCTAATAAGCATGGTTTGATGTATGCAGGTAGGTTGTGAGATTCAGATTATTTATGTGCCAAGTTAAATTTTCACTTTACTGGCTTCTTTGCTTGTTTGATCTTACCCTTTATGAATATTCCTTAAAGTTTACTTTCCGAATTTGTTAGAGTTTCTTTAATGTATTGTAACCCCATTAAAATTTTGATCTGAACCCTAAACAACTATACGTACCAGAGTCAAACGACATATCGAAATTGATGCCAAGTGTTTAGTAAATAAAATTTCCAAAATGACGCACGTATGTGTAAAACTTGTTAAGTCAATCCACACTTAGCCAAACACAATACACTTGCATCACATGACTTTCTTTCCTCTAAATGACTTGCTTACTTGAACATAAACAGAATTTATTTTCTAAAAGAAAGAAAATGGTTAATCCCAAAAAAGAAGTATTTTTTTACGAGGAACAACTAGAAATTCCTATTTATTTGTTATAAAATCGACCATAGATCAGTTTTCCCTTTTATTTTGGAGTATTGAATACACCCATAATTCTGAGCTTCATGTTACTCCTCCCAAGAGACATGTCAGATCCAGGACATTAGTTTCAAAAAGTTTTTATAGTATTTTTTATGTTAATAAATCTCGCCAATGATTTTGCTCTGTTTTAACTTTTATCACAAGTCGGTCTCTCTCCAGAATGAGCAGAAAACGCACATGAATTTAGACCCAGTGTGCTTCATTCTGGCTTGTATAAATGGCACCACTATGTTGACAACAATTTTTTCCTATACACGTGACAATAAAATTTCATTTTAGGGGTCACTGTTTGATGCAATAGTAAAAGCTTTGGTTGACAAGATTGAGAATGCGGGTTTAACTTTAAGACCATCCACTTTAAGCTAAAAGTAGGTCTGTCTCAATTCCCATAACAGCACTCTGCATACTAATGACTCTTGGTTATTGTCATATAGCTTTGTTCATTAATCATGTCTTGTTACATATTCTTCATTTTCTATCTTTTAACAGGAGGCCTTGATAAACCCATGTTGCGACCTTATATTGAACGGGATTGGCGATTTGGACATTACGAGATGGAAGGTCTGCAGGACCCATTGAATCGCTTTACTAGATACATCCTCCGACCTTTCCCGCGCAAAAGAAAACCAAAACGCCAATTGGTTCTTCAACCTCTTGAACAACACATCTAGATTCTAAAGGTGGCCCAGGCGGGACCTCCTCAAAATGACCAAGAGCTAACCTAAGTAAAACTATAATGGAACAGGTGAAAAAATCAAAGCCAGATGCATGGACCAGGTGATTATGTAACATCAGTCACTACTGGGCAAGGATGTCGGGAGCTCAACCTATGCGTCGTGGCATCTTTATATGTTTAATTATTCCAAGCAGTGTCATATTCTCTTCTTGTTGCTTAAATATTTTCAGAGGATGCTTTCTATAATGCTGCAGTGAGGATGTGTCTCAAAGTTTCTACAAGCAATCTTCATAAGTACGAGATGAAATGCACCGACGTGTACATAAATAATTTGATTGGTTTGGGAGCTGCCAGATTCTGGACAATATTGGCATTGAAGGTGGCAATAGTCCTCTCCTCTGTATTGTAAGTTTGTAACCTGAATTTCGAATACCGACTCAAAACCATAATCAGTGTAAAATAAGCTCTTATCATATTGGTTTTTATATTCTTAGAAAAGGGATTCATATAGTTTATGTACATCTAAATGGCTCTGTTGTTTATGCCATTAATAAGTTACTGTCCAGTCTTTGTAATTTGTTTTAATTTTAGTATACAAATTATATGTGAGATTATTAGCTTGTCATGGGAGAATTTGTAAATTTTGAACTCTAGCTTATCCAGCTACCTCGAGAGAATGGTACGTTAAAAGTTCCCTAAAAAAAAAAAAAGAAGAAAAAAGAAAAACAAAGAGAACATGATGTTTCAAATGATTTTTCAAATATTGCTTTCCAGTTGACACCGGAGGCATAGTTTATTAATCATTTTATTACATGAAATAAAAAAAAAGCGCATAAAAAAAAAAAAAATAAGATAGCATAGAAAATATAATTGCTAGTTAATTTGTAAGTATCAAATATTTTATGCAAATAAAGGATCAATACGCAGCAAGTCATTGGATGTCTCATCTGATAAACGAATGATGACTCTTGGGTAAAGTGTAAAAAGAAAGAAAAAAATTATGTTATGTACAAAATGTGCAAATTTTCTTATGGTGTTCAAAAAACCTTCTACATTTTTCAAGTTGAATAAATAAAAATATTTTGTCAATTTGAAGATTGAAATGTCTAAAATATTATTAAGACAAAAAAAATAAAATTACTGATTTTATTTTTAAGAGTATATTAAAAATATTTATAATTATCAATAAATATTAAGAAGCAATTTGTTTTTATTTTTAAATGTTAGAAATTTAGATGAACATGTTAAATAGCATAAGTATTTTTTTGTGTATTTTTTTTTTACATTTCATCCCCCTCCTCCTCCTCCTTTATTTATTTATTTATTTGTGCTAATAATATTATGAGATGTATTTGTCAACCATACAAATGATAATGTAAATGGCATGCAGTATGTAGGACATGCACTGGTTGTTGGACATGGGACTTTCATGGAATGACATGCATACAGTAACGAAATTAAAGCATACAGTAATCAAATTGGGGAGATAACGTGGGCCATATTTCTTCTTGGGCCGAAACTACGCGTATGGATTCCATAATACCGTAAAACTTTATAGAGAGGTGGGCCATGTTTTTTCTTCAGTTCAATCAATCTCACAACCGAAACTAAACGTCATTTCACACACAAAAACAAGTAAAAAAAAACTGTAATAAAAACTGACACCATGTGACGTGTCGCACAAGAAAAACTACCTTCCAATGAAAGTGAAATCTAGTGTCACTTGTGTTGCACCGCATTGAACAAATAAATCCTTCAGGAAGTAATTTTATCTCATCCATAAATAAAAATATATTTATTTTAGATTTTTAGTGTATCAATATTCAATCGTCTAATGATACCTTGTCATCATTATTTTTTGAAAATACAAATATTTTTTCTTTAAATAGTTCTCCCACGATAGATGGAACGATTGTAAATCCTTCAATAGAATATAAGACGTATTGCCCCGCAAACAATATGAAATCCACAACAATTAATATAAGTAATAGGGGTGATATCTAAATACAAAATGTGATGCATTCAAACAACATAGAATTTGAGGTGGATTGAGAGGGATGGAGGCGGAGACAAACTCGAGAGAGAATGTAAAAATTGGTAACGTAATTAAGGATGGAGCGATGATTGTAAAGTAGGGCTAAAGATAATAAGAAAATTTGAAGATGAACATAATAATTTTTATGACAAAAATATGTTACATATATTAAAAAATAGATCAAAAAAATGATGATATTTTCATATATCAAATCAAGTTTTTCAGGGGATAAAAATTAAAAATCACCTACAAAAAGAGTTTCCTGATCTCAAAGAAATTCTTCTTCTTCTACGCATTCTTTTCACTGATTTTTTTATCTATATTTGTTCAAAAATATGAGAAATTGCACCCTCTCAACTCTCTGCAATTTCCTTACTAAACCCCCAAACAGGATTCCCATGAGGGAAAATACCACCGCATGGTGAGAGAATGTGGCTGAAGAGTAATAAAAATTAATTACGTATCGCAAATAGATTAGGCTAATAGAAAGAGAAAGAGTAGTATTATGAATTGAACTGATAGAAAGAGAAAGAGTATTACTAAAAATTGATTACATATGGATTGAACTAATAAGAATAATAGTACTAATTTTTTTTTTAAAATATTGAACCTGCCCATTAAAAGCTACTCCCATAAGTGTAATGATACACTATCGACTCCAATGAAGATGCATGGAGAAAGTATGGGAGTGAGAGAGCTCCAAAGCTTGTATAAAGGTTGTTTCCTCCCCTTTTTGTTACGCTCCTCTTGGTCTTGAAGTATTTCCTTTTATTGGCCAAGTGAGAGGTTGGGTAATGTTATGTCATCACTTGTGGGCCCATTAATATGAGATGGTTTAATCTATGCGGTAGTAACAAAGTATTTCTCTCTGCGAGTCAAGTCGAATGTTAACTTAATAGACCTTGGACTTCGCCACTAAACCAACAACCTCCTTAGATCCCAAAAAAATATTGAGTTCTACTCTCAATGCAGGTTTTTAAGTTTTCGATCATTGGTTTGAGTTAATACAAATGATGCGGCAAGTGCCATGTACCTTTGATAGTTGATAGTTGACCAGTTACTTGACTTGTGACCAATTGTTGATGATGTGGCCTAGCAATGCGGACTCGGCTAAATCCATTCCCTTTTTATTTATTTTTTATTAAACTAATTTTCAATATTCCAATGTTGGTGTGGCTCGAGTGACAATAGAGTTTACACCAAGGATTTTATATTTTCATTTAGCATTATTTTACGTTGGTAAGATTGAAACTTTTTTTGAAATTTTTTATTAGGTGGATTTTTTTTCTTTCTAATGTATTGTGTCTTTTTATAAATATATCCTTATTGTGTTATTGTATTATATTCTTTAAGACAACATGGTTTTTACTGTTTGAGAAAAAAAAAATTGATATGAAATATAAAAAAAAAAAAAAAAAAAAATTGCACCTTTGAAGGATTGATATTGAAATTTCTTGTAAAGGAAAAAAACAAAAAATTGGGTGCTAAAAAGTAAAAACCAAGTGATCATAGTTGGATGGAAAAAAATAATAATCATAAAAAATAGTTGGAACAAGCGATTTTCCTTTTATTATTGTAAAACTATTTTTTTTTTTTTTTTTTAGCATTCAGCTAAATTGTTGGAGAAGATAGTGATACGGTTTAGATTGCCAAATTGTTAGAGAAAATATTATATTATGCACAAATAAATAAACAACATATATTTTTTTGGACAATGCTTGAGTCCTCGCTAAAAGGACGAAGAGTTCATCCCCTCAACTAACATGGCCCAATAAAATTTATAGTTCATCCCCTCAACTAACATGGCCCAATAAAATTTATGCAACTTCTTACCGATTAAATAGAAACCAAAAATTTTCTCTCCCAATTTAAACATTTTTTAGAATCTCTTCTCTCTCTCCTTGTAAATCTCCATACCTAACCTCCATCTAAAGCCTTAATCTCTCTACAACCCTGTTTGGATTGACACAAAACTGCACCAATAAATGAAATACTGACTTTTATTCCATATGTAAAACAATATACAAAACCAATAAAAGTTAATAATTGACACAAAACTGCACCAATCGATTGAAGGTGTTGGGGACCTGAGAGGGATGAAAAAATTAGATATAACTTTGATCAAAATAAATCTACGAGAAAAGATCTATTCAAATATAGGTTAACATCAAATTTTCATACTCCGCATAAAATTTCAAGTTCCTATCCCTTCAATTTCAAAAGAATTTGATAAATTTTTAATTTCAAATGGAGGTATAGAAATAAAATTAATTCTTTTGGAAAGAAATAAAAAAAAAAAAAATTGAATTTTGGTTTAACATGTAAAAAAATGGGTAAAGACTATTTTTACAAATTTTAAAATTTTTAGACGTGTCTGGAAAAGGATCTACTTGTCCATGTTTTTTTATTTCAAAAATTTAATACTAATTATTTTCTTTCCTTTTAAAATTTCTCTTCTACAGTCTACAATCATAGGAGCATGGGAGTATGGGAGTAAATGAAATGAAATTGACTTGTCAGTTACGTTGAAGATATTTAATGAGAGTGTGACACGTACACTCTACTACCACTATATACGCCGTCGTTTAATTGCCTTTTTTGCTCCCAATTAACAAGTCTGAAATGGGTGGTTTCGTACTTAATCTCTCTCACTCTCGTATAGTCGTAGGCCACATCACCATGCTCCCGCCATAGCAAATTCTTAAGAACACCTCTCTCTCTCTCTCTTCTCTAGAACTCTCTCTCTCTAAAAAACTAGGGTTTAGTCTTGTAGACAATGCCTGCGAGGCAATACAACAAGGGTGACAAGGTCGAGGTGGTCAGAGACGACGACTGTTCCAAGGGATCCTGGTTCCCGGCGACTGTGATCCGGTCGGCGCCGGCGAAGCAGAAGGATCGGATCTTCGTTGAGTACGAAGCCCTAATCTCTGACGAGAATGAGGCGAAATGCCTGAGAGAATATGTGAGTGTGGCCAACGTCAGGCCTCTGCCGCCTCTCGAGCTCCTCCGGTACTTCAAAGTCGGCGACAGCGTCGACGTTTACCATCGGAATGGGTGGCGCAAAGGCACTGTGTTGGAAATACACGAGAATTCGAAATACTCGGTGGCTTTCGATGGTGGAAATGAGCGAGTTGAGGTTGAACAGTGGTGCTTGCGGTTCCATCGTGACTGGAACGATGGCTCTTGGATTCCCCCTATCGAATACCAGGTCTATACACACAAACATATATATATATATATATATATATATATATGGGAGATGGAGATGGCTTTGGATTAATTTTACACGAAAAATAGAAAACTAAAAATTTAGAAAATGGGCTATAGAAGAATTTTGCATGTTTGTGGTGTGGGGTCATTTTATTATTTTTTAGTGTCTTCTTTGATTGTTTATTATAAGAAAATTTTGAGCTTTTTTGGTTCTGAGTTTGTGCGAGATGATTACAGAGCAGAGGAAAGGGAGCTGAAAATTAGGGGTTTTGATCAAATATCGATTCGATCATTCGAGGAAAATTATTTATGAAGCACGACTAAAAATTTGCTAACCCAAAAAATAAAAATAAAATAAGTATGAATAAAATTTTTCCTTT